AGAGCTTAGTCTTTTTCAATCGCATTACACTTTTAAGGTCTCCGCGCTCTTACCCAAACTTTTTAAAATTCCCTCTGCAAAATCCATGTCGGGCAAAAACTTGTTGTGGACATTTTGAATGGCACAACTGCAGCCTTTAATATTCGGAACAGTTCTTAATCTTGGTTCTCAACTTTCGTCGTATATCCTATAGAGTAGCAAGATGAGTTTTCATAATCTTGTAAAAGCAAAGTAGTAATAACATCCAATACCACAAGTACTATCAGAAAAAGAAAAAACCAATCACCATGCTAATATCATGTGCTACCAATCCCGCCTTCCCACACTCCTAAAGCAACAGTTGTGTCACTGTTGACGTCTCCATCTTCGGTTTTTGTGCTTGGTAGACTTGGCTGATGTGAAATTTGCGAAAACTCATTGACGCCGATAAACCATCCCACGATTCTCAAGCGTCTTTAGATCTCTTCGAAAGTTCCTGCGTCGGTTGAATCTCGCGGACATTATAATATTGCTTGTTGAATAAAATTACTTCATAAAGCTATTTGATTGGAGCGGCAACACATTGGATAGAATCCTTTGCAAATTCGTTCGTACAATTCCTTCAAAATAAAACATTCATTACCCTTCAGTGTTCGTTGAATCCAGAATCTTGATCAAAAATGGAAGTATGCTTTGACGGCGTTTAAAATCGTATGTTAATCACGCATGTTTTCAGGAAAGCATAAACCACTGTGTTTAGGGAGACCCTGAATCTAAGCTCGATTGTCCAGAAAGCAGGAATTCTACTCTCCAAATTAGCTCAATATCTGAAGGTGTTCCAACAAGAATTACTTCATACCACCCAACATTGTTGTTCCCAAGCCAATTCATGAAATGGAACCTTCCCGGGCACCACTCATTTCATAAATTATCTGAGCGAAGGCATATGAGCTCAAAACATTCTCCAGACGCTCTCCTTAGAGTAGGACGCACTTTTGTCCCAGCTTATTCAAGTAGCCCTGCAACGCTCTCAGGAGGGAAGAAGGCGACTATGGCATGCGATTAGTTTCTTTCTTTCTAAACGGTCCCACAGTGTAACAGTAAATCGATATTCTGCTTGTATAAATTATCTTCCACCGGCACTCACCGAATAAATTTCCGAAATTTGCGTAAAAATTTGGCAACAGTTGTAAGACGCTGAACCAAAATCTTGAAATTTTTGCCAGTCATTGCCGACCCCAACAATATATTCTGGATGCGAGTCCTGTGGGATCACATTCATCTGCGTGCAGATATTGCATACCTTTGGAGATACCTTTGAGTATAATTTAGTATCGACTGGAAATCAATTTAATTTATAAGTCAATCATTGTAATTAAGTAGATAATCCGCTTGTAACATATACATACCTCAGTCATTCTGTCTTTTAACACATATATCAAATAAGCACCGGCATTCTAGAATTCCAGTACGGCATTTTCAGTATTCTCAAATATTGCATTTATCAGTACAGATACTAAGTAATTTAGACTTTTAAATTTAAATTGTAAAAATTATTTTCCGGATCTGCGACATCAAGGACACCAAACATTTTAACAACATTATCATGGCCATACACACTATCGATCCATCTCAAAATATTAATTTCGATCTCTCTCTT